AAAATTGTGAACATATGAACTGCTATTCCCACCAGATTTCAGTTAGCCCAAAATCTTGCCTCCACCACCAAGCAATAGCACACACTGCAGAGAGCAAGCCCCGAGCAAGCACGCAGCGATGCTTCCCAGTACGCTCATCAGCAACTTGTAGCTCGGAGACCTCCCAAGCAGAAGCATTATCTCCATTAACATAGGTCTTTGATGAATTTCTGTAGTATTTGGAATGGGCACATTACAAATACAAAGTCTAGTGCTCTCCGGGGCAGGGAGGCCACCACTGCCTACCACAAATGCCACTCTTTCCCGAGGCAGCACGTGGTAAGGGTTTCCTGTAGCTGTTATCTTACTGCTCCAGTTAAACCATTCCTAACCACCACCAACATCGCAAGAGCTGGCTAAGCACCATTTTTTCAAGTTTTCACATCAAGCTCCAGTTATTTTACCTTAAATCAAGTGCCTGCAAATACCTAGCAGGAGGCTGGTGAGAACCAAGGAGGCTCCCATTGGGATCCTGCCTGCTTTCCTCACACCTCACCTGGTGACCTGAGGAAAAGCCCACCAGGAACTACGGCTACCAAAGAAAACATGAAGCAGGCAATGGGCAGTCACCATTTCCTGTGACAACGTCAGTGTAAGTATATTCCTACATCCAACTCTTGTAACAGTAAGATTATTAAAGACACAGTATTAGAGCAATGAAGGAAATATAACAATGCGTTTAGAAAAGCTGAAGGTAAAAACAAAGCAAGAAGAAAAGCAGCACTTGTCTCAAGTGAAACAACTTCCTGTGCAGAGGTGCTACCTGCTAACTGGCCCATCTATTTTGGATGGCAGCAATGGGCCCTTCCCAATTCCTCATACAGCAAACAACTTCCTTCAGCAAGCGCACTCAGAAGAGGAGAATCTCTTTAGGAAACTGAAGAAAAAAGGGAAGAGGCACTGAAAGGTAACAAATCATTTGAGGATGTTCATAGAAAACTTTTCCAGGGATATCTGCTTGATTGTACAATAATCTCCATGGGAAGTATTAAAGCCCTTAAAAACATGAGAAACATAAAACCATGCCAGAGAGTAATGAAAATAAACTCTAAAGAGCTTTTCTGCTCTGGTCTCCCAGGACAGCTACATAATCTTCCACATCTGCTGCACGGCAAGGTACTGCTCCATCTGAATGCTGGAGAGCCGAGACAATTCCCACCTAGACTTGACCTTCCCAAAAGGAAAAACATTTCTCTGTGTAGTGCACAAGTGTACCAGCTTCTCCTCACCTTCCTCTTCCAGTTCATATCCTCGTTATCCCAAAAACATCAACATCCCATATTACTTTGAGTCTTCCTCCCTGTCCATTTCCCTTGGTGCTGTTTCCCTCCCCTTATCAGATGACATCTGATCAGGTCTGTCAGCCTCCCCAGCCCCCTGAAAACTCCTTTCCTGATCGGGTCCAACACCCACTGCCCTCCTTCCTGCCAGCTGCCTCTCTACAGAGCTCGCAGCTCTGCCCAGCCTCAGCAGCATCGGAGGTTTCCCCTCGCAGCCAAACAAGCGCAGAGAGCAAGCTCACCCAAATGGAAAGACACAGGTGAGCGCACTATCTGCTGAATATCTCACAGGCTTAGCAAAGTGTTCAAAAAAAAAAAAAAAAAAGTGTAAATCAGTTCAATACCAAGCTCTTCTACATTGAACTTCTTGTTACTTCCTTGCTATTCTGAACATAAATCATCTTTAATAGTATGTATGGCTGACTGCTAATCACTAAGCTTAACCTTGAATATTCATGAGAAACTCCAAATATTAAAAGTTTCCTTAGTTTTTAATTCCCAAATTATAATTAACAGGAACACCCTGTAATACTCTTCAACCTTTTCTGGAAGTCAAGGAAATGAAAGCCTAATTAAGTCTTGGGAAAGTGCCGCACAATACTCTACATGAATCATTAACGTTATCGTAATCCTTTGTGACATTGCCCCTTTAAAGGACAGTTTCAGGCACATTCTCTTGAGATACGAATAAATGAGTTGGAACTCTTCTCACGTCCAGCAGCGCTTAAACTACCCCACAGGCCGAAAACATCATGCTGCCTTTCAGCTCGCAACAGCTCCTGTAGTGGTATTTCGAATCAATACAGACAAACCTAGAACCAGTAACAGAGCCCTGCAGTCCCCATGCCTTCATTTTCAGGCATTTGACTTTTTCCCTATTCCTTCTTTTGACAATCAAAAACGGCACCTGGAAAAGAGCCATTTCAGCCACAATGCCCTGCAGTTACACGTCACATATGGCACTACGAGCTAAGCTGTGGAAAGTCCTTCAACCAAAGATTACAGTAAGCGGCAATGTTTGTCTTCAACTGATAATTTTGTCTGCCAATCATGAATGTATTTTAATACGAATCCTGACATTAAATGAAGCATGTGCATTGTAATCTTTCCTGCAGCATTACTTTCTTTTACTAGAATATATTTAGAGACATTTTATCTTAACCAATTTTTGTTGAGGTTTTATTCTGTGCAGTGAAGGGTGCTCCTTCTCATTTTTAAAAATGAGTCAGTGCTGTACGACAGCCTGATACACATCAGTTCCCACAGTAGTTTTGAAGGTATTACTAAGCATTACGACAACAAAAATAATTATCTTAGGCAAATAAGTCAATTAAGAGAATCGTGGAACATGTTCTTTCTCCTCCTTTTCCAAAACTGCTCACTTTACCACCAGTTTGCAAAAACCAATAGTTTGCTCTACCAGTCATTACCAGAACTTAAATGCAGCTCCTTTGGAGTACAACCACACAGAAACTGAATTTGGTGAGGCAGTACATAGGCTTCCATCCTATCCAAGCTAATTTGTCAACTTCCGACCCACTGGATTCATACACTCTGTATGCACCATGTGTGCTATATCAGGCCACTCATTAAAAAAAGGCACAAAACATTACTCAGTTCCTCCAAAGAAACTCATCTGCACGTACGCCTTCGTATGTCCTACGACATACTGGAAGTTGCAACATACTCATTCAACAGACAAGAAAATTCCAGTGTCTCTAAGTCCACCATCGTATGGTTTTTACCATTATCTTTTTTAATTTTATTTATAAGCCCTAAAAATTTAAGAGGCGTGCTCCATAATTTTTTCATATTTGTTCCAAATGTATCAGTTTAATAATAGACGATTTACTTACTCACAATCAATAATCACTCATTTTAATTAGAAGCTTTTAGCATGACTTGCCAAAGTTATTAGTGTACCGCAAAGATCAGCAGTAGGAACAGAAACAAAAATCCTGAGGGCAGATTATTTTAGCATATTAGGAAGCACCATCCCAGAACTTCAACTGCCTGGATGGTTTTTAATAGTTCCAGGACAGGTAGATGTTGCACAGTGATGACAGCTTCTTTGGCTTCAGTCCTGAAAACACACAATGCAAATGCAGCTGCTCCCTGTCGTTCAGCCTACTCATGTAATGCTCATTGCTAACGCTTGCAGACCTCGGATTTTGTTCTGCACCGTGGAGATGAGAAGAAAACAAATTGCACTTCCAAATCCTGAGTTTTGCTGGGTATTTGCAAAAAGGACTATACACTGATAACCAGAACCCTCTATAAACTTGAGCTCACTGCTGAACCTAGTACACTTTGACTATATCTTATGTGAATCTGTCCATGCAAGCTTTGTCTTACAATAACTAGCAGTGGTTTTAAACAATGAAGTAATACACATGAAATATTTAGAAGTTGGTGGGTTTTTGGTGTAGTTTTTCTTTTTAACATTATTGTCCTCAAAGAACTTACTTATATTAAGGGAATACAATTCATAGCATCTCTGTAAGGAACTACTTAAAAACCTATTTTCAGGTTTACTGTCATTTTCATAACTGCTCTAAAACACCCTTAAAAGTACATTTGCTAATTTCAAAGATGTTAATAACAACACAACTTTGAAGTTTGATCAGATGAAGACATGCATCAGCATCATCAACGGAAAAACCTCAGGAGTTATTACACGTGTAATTGTTACAGTGCTCTAAGCTTCACAAGGACTTCAAACTAAGCAGTGTAGCTGTTTAGACTCTCCGGAGAAACACAGCATGTGTTTTCTTTGAGAATGAAAAATGTTTTCAGGGTTTTTTTTTGTGTGTGTGTGTGTGTTTGGGGAAGGGTTGTTTTAAGGTTTCTTCCCACTTTGTGCAACTAACAGAACTTCAGGTGTGCATTTGGAGGGCTGTTTGTTTGTGTTTTAAGGTTTCTTTCCACTTCGTGCAACCAGCAGAATTTCAGCCAGCTAAAACCAAACGTGATGAATGTGCAAGCGACCTCTCACAGGCACCCCCGCTGCCCTGCATGGCCAAGGCACGGCTGCAGCCCCGCACCTCCCGGGAGCTCCGGGCACCCTCCGCTGACCGCGGGGCCCCCGCTGCGCACCTGGCCCCGCTCTGCGACCCCAACCCCAATCCTCGTCCTCCTCCTGCAGCCCTGACACACCGCAGCCGCTCAGCAGCTCCCAGCTGGGCACAGCGGGCTGGGTTAGGTTGGGTTGGGTCGGGTCGTTTCGTGTTGTTTTGGACCAGCGCGCAGCCCCCTGAGGTGTTTGTTTGATAACCCTGGGATTCGATGACTTGCGGCGGGACCCAGCGGGCGTGCTGGGTGGGGTTTTACCTCAGCCAGCCCAGTCTGGGGGTACCCTCAGGCCCTGAGGCCGCCCCGTCCCTCGGGCCGCCGAGCACGGAGCCGCGGGGACCGCTCGGGCTCAGCTCCACACACTGACCAAACCCCGGCTGCTGCCGGTGCCTCAACGGCTCCTCCGCCACCCCCAGCCCGGGGCGAGGCTCGCTCCCACCCAGCGCCCCGCCGGCCGAGGTGCCGTGGGGACGGGACCCCCCTGCCCCTGCCGAACCGCGGCTCCCGCCCGCGGCGGCCCTGAAATGGAGGCCGTTGGGCGGCCGCCAGGCGCAGGTACGCACCTCGCCGCCGGGCGGGGAAGGGAGCTGGGGGCGGCCCGGGACTTACCACCTCCGCCAGCTTGATCCTGCCGAAGGTGCCCCGCAGGTAGTCCAGGTCGCAGCGGAGGCCGCCCAGCCCTCGGCGCTGGCTGACGGGCTCGGTGGTGGGCTGGTAGGGGCTGCTGGCCCCCGAGATCATGGAGGTGCTGGACGCCTCGCCATCGAAGCCCTCCAGGTCCTCGCCGTTCCTCATGGTGCCGGTGCCGCCGGGGGGCCGAGGGAGCGGGCTGCGAGCTCCAGCCGGCGCCTAGCGGAGCGTCGGCTGCATGGCACGGCACGGCAGGGCAGGGCAGGGCAGGGCAGGGCCGGGGGGCTCCGTCAGGCGGAGAGGCGCGGGGACAGCGGGGGCCGCATGGTGCCGTGCCCGGCCCGGCCTCAGCCCCGAGGAGGAGGAGGAGGAGGAGGAGGAGGAGGAGGAGGAGCAGCGGGAGCGCCCCGCCGCCGGGGGGCGCCCTCACCCCGCTGAGGGCAGCGAGGAGCCGCCGTGCCCGCGGCCGCGCCACCCGGCCCGGAGCCGCCCTCAGCCCGCTCGGCGGCGAGGCCGCCCCGCGGCTCCGCTGCTCCCCGCGCCGCTCCCGGCAGGGCAGCTCCGGCCGGGGACGCTGCTGCCGCCGCCGCCGCTCCGCCCCCTGCGCTCAGCGGAAAGGGCGGGGAGAGCCCGCCCCGAGCTGCCCGCCCCGAGCCGCCCCGCCCGGCCCCGGCCCCGGCACCTGCCCCGGGGCCCCGCTCGCCTCCCCTCGGCCGCCGGGGCCGGGCCGCTCCGTGCCTCGTCCCGCCCGCGCGGAGCGGCAAGTTTGGGTTCTAGGCACCGAGGGGGCAGCGCGAAGACAGCTTCCCCCACGGGTGAAAATGAGCCGTACCGCGTTTCAGCCGTTCTTCAACCATCTCGTCTTTCCCCCAGTCCCCAGTAAAAGTCTGTCTCTGGCTTCTAAAACACTGCAAACCGCCCATCTAGGATTTGGTGTTATTCACTGCAGCTCTTGTGTAGGCAGAAACAAATGACACTGTTTGTCCTTGGCACCTGCACGACTGAAAGGCACGTGGAGGTTACAGCTGGTGCTGCCTGCTGCCTTTGGCACTTCTGCAGGCAGGAGCAGGCTGGCATGGCAGGAGTCTGGGCTTCGGGGTTCTTGGAAATGCACTGATGTTGGTACTAACACTGGAAAACGTCAATAATAGTGGCAGCTTACATTGTGTTTTTAACACAAGAGTTTATCCTCTGAGATATATCAAGCTGTTCACACTCCTCAGAATTACCCTTTCAAGCTGTTATGATACTGTACCTGCACCCGTTCAACTAGTGAAAACTCCCATGGTGTTCTTCTGTGAGTGTTAGAAACATTTTAACATGGAGTTTTGAAGTTTTCCAACGAAAGAGTTGGTTTTAACACTTCTAGACACTTCTCGTGAAAGCATAAATAGGGAGAAACATGCAACACAACCGGACAAATACAACTGCAACAAATACAAATGAAGAATGGGTTTGCGTTGTATTTTTTTTCCCTCAACCTACAGACTGCCATGCACCACCACTGGAGTTGGAAACTCAAGGAGCTCAGTATTGTATCCTGTGATCCGTCATATTTATCAGCCAGATTTCTGCTCTCAGTCTTAGTAACAATCCACATTCTTATCTCTTGTCTCATTTTCTGTGATAGGATTTGCACATATATTAATTGTTCTAGCATCTTCCTCAGGCCTCTAAAAAGGTGTTGGTTTTGTTTTTTTAAACCATGACAGTAGTTCTGTTTTCCAAGAGCAGAGTGGATTATCACCCTTACACCTCTTTTCTTCCAGTTATCTTTATGCTCTGCTTCTTTTTTCATTCTCTTGAAGCCTCTTTCATCACCCTTCTTTTGGAGGGTTCTGTCTAGCGTCACATGTTTTTTAATTTCAAGAGATTTTCCTCCTCTTTGGCCAGAGAGCACACCAGAAACCCTGGACAGAGAAAGAGTTGATTTTTTTGGTCTACCTTTATCAGGCACAGCTTGGTTACCTGGAGACATATTGACAGCACACAGCCAGGTCTTTCCATAGCTTCTCTGGTACACCCTGGTGCTGGAAGACTCTGAAATATTCTCAAACAAGATAGCAAACATGCTTAAGAAAAAAGTTGCCCTTTACTGAAGGACAAATAGCAGGAAAAGAGAACATGAGCAAGGCATGGAAAAGGATGAAAACCTCCGTTCCTTGGGTCACCCAAAACTAGCCTAACCATACACAATTAGAAACGTGAAGGGAAAATCCTGTCTGTGATGGACTAATAGGTTTTTACAGTCTCTTGTCTCAGTTCTTGTATAATTCTGGGGAAATGAAAGGTCACACAAAGCTCCTTTTCTTGCAGGAAATATGATGACAAGGTGGCTGCCGGTTAGAAGAGCTTTCATAGATTCTTTTTAACCTTACGACTGCACAGCTGTTCCACAAACACAGCATTTCCACATTTACCTACAGAGACACTTAGCATCGGCTTTGAGGAGTTCCCGTGGTGGTTCTAGAAAGCCATTTGTAAGCAAAGGAATTGAAACATTTTTGAAGCATCCAGCAAACATTATTTTGATTAGTCTTTTGCAGTTCCAACCAAAGGAGCAATATGTTGAAGGAGAATCAAAAGGTGGTATTGCACAAGGCAACCGAAGGTCAAGGGGAGAGATGGTTGAGTGATTTAGGAAAAAAGGCTAGGTGATAAGAGATCTCAATTCCAGTTTTTGGCTTAGCACTGCATTCTGTGCAGCCTTCAGCAAACTTAGTTTCCTGTAAAATGGAAGGCATAACGCCTAAATATATTTAAGATCATGAGAACGCTGCAGAGTATGGGAACACTGAAAACGCTCTGTTCTTTGGGGAGTTAATTGCTTACACAGCGAAAGCACATTAAGTGTTCTCTCTGCTCCAAGTATCTCAAGTGTTATTTGAACAATTGCGAGGCGTGTTCTCAGAACCACGTTGACAGTGTCGCCGACCGCAGTTTCACAGGCATTCCAGGCTGCGTCTCGGGGCAGCGGGAAGCAGGCATGGCCAGCCACAGCCATGGTGCCCCTTTCGGCACCACGAGCCGTGCAGAGAGCTTCCCCCTTGCTCTAATGGCATGGAGCCAACACCAAGCCATACTGGGGGATTTTCTGGCATCCTCCTGGACGGGTGGGTGGGCTGGACAGACTTGGCAAGGGCTTGTGAGGTTTCTGCCAACATTTAACAAAGGAATCCTTTACACACATTCTTGCCTGATACGGCACCTTTTCAGTCTGCTCTGTAGCACTTGAAAGGAAAAAAAAGTCTACATTTGATATGTAAATAAAAGTATTGATCCAGTAAAAAGGTCATTGCATTCATCCAAGGCAAATCACACTGCTTTCAGATAACTTTCTGAAAGTTATTCCAAGTTCATGAGCTTTTCAAGAAAATCTTGCTATTTCACTGCATGGATGCATACCAAGAGTAGTTAAACGGCGAACTACATCAGTGGTCAGCACTCTAAACACCACCATAATATCAAGCTAATAATCAGGTCACTGTATTTATCAGAGAAGACTTCACAACCTGCTAAAATCTGACTAAACAGTGGAAACAAGCAAGAAACAAGATAGGAGTAAACCTAACTATGCTATTCACAGCTGTTGTAATTAACAAAGATCTGTGTTTTTACAGAACACTTAAGCCAACTTGAACAGAATCAAAAATTCCTCATCAGGAACTATTTCTAGGGCTGTGGTGATATATTGTAACCAACTGGCAATTTATATGTAAAAAACAGTCGGTAGATTATCTTAAATATTATCACTGATCAAACTGAACAAAGCAACTTATCTCAACTTCCATCTCAGCTATTCATATAACTTCTAATAAACTTCAGCTTTCAATGAACAGCCTTTGATAAACTTCTTGTGTTCATTTCATTAAATGCATTTAAATTCCATTTTCAAGACTGAAGTGTGCAACCCTATTGCAACTGAATACATCAGCTTAAAACCAGATTTTAACAGCTGCATTTGTGTAGTTTTAACAAACAAGGTATTTCAATGCTGATACATAAAATTTTGTAGATTTGAATGGTGCTTATTGTGAGGAAAATTTAGTTAAAAGTGTGAAAGGAATTCAAATCCTAACAGGGAAGTTCCATCTGTGCAAGTACCTGAAAAGAGCAGAGAGGTTCTTTAAGAAAATGCTCCAGTATTTCCACATGACCTACCAAGGGGAAGGAGCACTGGTACGCTGCCAAATTCCAAGAGAGCTGAGCGGTGATTAGAGTTTAACTCTGGCATCAAGAGAAGAGCATTCTTCCTTGAATTTCTCTATGTAAAAATTCTGAAGCTCTCACAACTGTTCAGTTAAAAAAAAATAAAAATAAAAATAAAAAAAATAATAAAGAACTTTCTTTAGAAAAATGTCTGTTAGGTTTAAGTGCCTTAGTTGGTCACATTCTCTGTTCTCACAGAGAATGTGGCGTGCACACCTTGATTCTGTAGCCATTGGCAGCATGGGAAGCAGGCAAACAATTTTGCTGAGTCAGAGTTAGGAATTAATGCAACGTACAGTGAGAATAAGCTGCAAGTTGTGAGATGGCCTTTCAAAAGAAGGACAACTGGCTGCAACAGTGGGGAGTCATGTAGTCAGTCATCTCTAACTGTAGGGGATGACTACTGCTGAACAGCACAAGGACTCCTGCTAGAGCACATCCAAGCAGTACTGCGCAAGCTCCCAGGCTAAGACCACTCAGCAGAAAGTGACCTTGGGAGCAATAACAAGAACCAACTTCCTTAGCTAGCCTTACAGCCCCTGCATGTTTGTTTGTGTTTGGTGGCTCTAAGTCGCCACGGGACCTGTCCCAGGGAGCTGCATGGGGTTGGCTTCACCTCTCTTAAGAGGAAAGGTGAAAATGTTGCTCCTTGAATTTCACCACCATCAATGAAGAGAATTTCTCCTTCAAAAAGGAACAGCACAATTAAGGCACTACTGGCAATAAAAATTAGAGACTTGCTTTACAGACTGATGAATATCATCCCATATGCCACAAACAATGAGCCATCCACAGAATACCCCTCTTTTTCTCCGGGATTAGAGATTGACATGTCCTTCAACAGTTTCTGTCTACTGGTCCTGTTTTTCTCCCCTGCCTTTATCACTGATGAAGCTGTCACTGACTCTTTTCAGCTCCAAAAGCTTTTGTGGACTTGAGCAACCTGCAAGTGCCAGAGAGGGGTTACCTTGCAGCCACATCTGGGATGAAGGGCAGCAGACATTCTACATGAGAGAGGTGAAATTAATTTATGTAAAAAAAACAGAAGCAAAACCTCATATTCTTAAGAAAAGTGCCAGTGGACTTTTAATGCTGCTGGGAACCAGCCAAGGCTGTGGGTTACATTTCTTTTGAAAAAATCCCATATAATGAAGCACACTGAAAAATATGCAGAGAGACTAACAGCAATGTTTACTTTATTCATGGCACTACGTTTATTCAGGGAACAGAGAAGGGGAAAAAAAAAGCCCTGAACTGAGAAAAAAAAAAAAAAAAGGTAGTCTTCTTCCAATAATACTATAAAAACACACAAGCCTAGAACAGAAGGTCAGAAAACAGTAGTTCCTTCTGACTGCGTGGGCATGGTTGTGCTGCCCCTGTGATATCTAGTATTT